GCTGACGCGCGGGGGAGAAGGGCGCTTAGGCGCGGAGAGGGCGCGGAGGCTAAGGCGCAGAGGGCGCAGAGGTACGCCAGAGAGGGCGCGGGCTAGGAAGTAACGAGGAACTAACCTACTCGTGATACCATATCAATGTATGAATGCAACGAAATGATGAGATTAGGAATGTGGGTGATACAAATAGCAAACCCTAACTGAGTTGTTCTCGCTAAGGAGCACCTCACTATAGCTTATTCAGAAATATCAACATTTGACAAATATTACTCATCTTGCGTTCGTGGTAGCAAGGCGAATGAAAAGTCAGGAATAATTTGCCAGTCATTACTGTTCAATCAATTGTTGGCCGACAGATCGGTATCTCGAGCCGCTGATAAGAGCATGCTGAGGTTGATGATTCCAAAACCGTGAGGTTTGGTCACGATGGAGGTCGCATGGGAGTCGCACGCGATTTTTGGGTTTCTCCCTCAACTCACCTCCCCTCCCGAACTGCACCCAAGAGCGAGCTTGTAGGCTGAGCGGAAATCCGGGTTGTGAGCTGCGTGAGAGTGGTTGGGTTTGGTTTTGTCAATAGTGTTTGTTCAAGTTTCGGGAAGTTGAAGTTGCGATACACTGTAGGGCATTCCGCCTTCGCCACCTTCCTCCGGCAAATTTTTCTCTCGTCAACCTTCGCGCAACCCTTATCAAGTTCAGTATACATGAACCCTTGACATTCTAGGGCTTTTCAATTCAGTATTTATTTCCTTACATATTATTATCATCCGACGAATCGAAGACCACGGTTCGGGTCAATTATAGGGGAGGATGGATCTTTCTCGCACTCGTCTCTCACCACCTAATCATCCAATTTCACCAAACCCAACCGAGTAAAATAGGCCACAGTACTAGTGATGGAGTTCACCTGCCGGCCGCCTATGTGGCAAGCCGAGCGAGCTTGCGCGACTTGAGGCGCGACTTCATCCTCTCCGCGCACCGCCGTTGCCACCAGCCCGGCCAGCCCGGCCTGCTCCGCGTTTTCCCTCGCGTGTCGCGGCGATGGCGTTTCTCGGTGCGTTCTGCCTCCTCGCCGTGCTGAGCCGCGTCGGCTGCACTCACGCGCAGGTGGAGCCGGGACTGGAGCGCGCCATGTCCTTGTATCGGGTACGGCCGCGCGGGGAGTGGCAGGAAACATCCCGTGTGCGCTAGCCTCCCCCTCTCTCCCCCTCTCTCTCATCATCTCTCACCTCCCACACCGCGCACGGCGCAGCGGTGCAGGGATGGCGCAGCCAGCGCGCCGAATCGTCTCGCCTGCCGCACGTCGCGCGTGCTCCCTATCCGCACTCCCCGCCCACTTCCCCCCAATACGCGCCAAGGTGCGCTCGCGGAGTCTGCCTACGAGGATTTACGACCTTCCCCTCACCCTCCCAATCCGTTCCCTCTTACTGTATGCGTATCCCAATCCGCTTGAGGACCTCTGCTGCAGAACCACTGCTTTCACCTCGTCCCCTCTCCTTCCTCCTCCACCCTCCACCCCCGTCTCTCATCTTTCTCCCCCACCCCCCGCAACCACCCCCCCCGCCAGGCATGGGAGGCCGCCTACGGCCTGCAGGGCTCGTCACCCCTCCCCCCGGCCGCCGTCGCGCTGCCGCCCAGCGTGCCGGCTGCGCCGCACCTGGAGGCGTGCAGTGCACGGTCAGCGTGGCGCCACAAGGCGGAGAGGCGGGGCACGCAGGGGGAGGCGCCGGGATGGGCGCTGGGAGCACACCCGCAGCCGCCGTGGGTGAGTGGGCAGCGGCGGGCATGACATGTGCAGCGGATGGACGCAGCGCAAGGCGCAGGGTGCAGGGCAAGAGAGCAACGCGAGGGAGCGGACGACCATGGCCTGCAATGACCCCCCCCCGGCTGCGACGTGGGTTATGTGCGCATGGCAGGGGGCCGAGTGCAGGGGGCAGAGTGCAGGGGTAGGGGGTAGAGGGTAAGAGGCAAAGGTAGGGGGCAGGGGATGGGGCTGGGGGTAGGGGGAAGGGGGTTGGGGGCACGGGGGAGGGGGAGCTGCTCACTGCATTAGCTTGCTCGCTGCTTGAGCGTGGTCAGTGTACCACTGCTGGTAACTTGCCACATGGTGCGGGTTGGCATGGCATGCCTCGACTCACACAGCCGTCCCCCAGCTGCCTTCGTCATCGCTGTCCCCTCCCATCCCATCTCTCGCCCACCTTATCTTCTCGCCTGTCCCACATCCCTGCTTCTCTCTCTTCCCCTCCCTTCCCCTCTTTGCTGTTCCCCAAGCTGCCTTAATCATCATGGCCCTCTTTCCCCTCCCTTCCCCCCTCCTCTCACCGCCCGCCCCAGGTGCGGGGGTCCGATGCGACCAACCTGGGGCGAACGCGCGAGGCACAGAGGGACATCTGGCAGCACCAGTTCCCGGCGGGCGACTGCAGCGCGCACAGGCTGCTGGTGGTGGACTGGCCGGCGTCGCAGCACGGGGTGGGGTCGCAGCTGCACATCATGAGCGCCGCCCTCAGCCTCGCCATGCAGCACTCCCGCGTGCTCGTGCCCACCGCCTCCTTCCACCGCGCCAACCACGCCGAGTGCAATGGTGGGGGGGCGGGTGCCTTGTGCAGGGAGGGAGGGGAATGGAGAGTGGTGTTAATGCTTCTGTGGCTGTTGCTCCTGCCACGTCTCACTCTCCTCTACTCTCCACTCCACTCCCGATCTGCTGCCCCCGTCCCCTTCATTGTCTCTCCATGTGCTCCTCTCACCACCTCCTTTCCACCCACTGCCCGTCATATCCCTCCCGCAGCCACAGGATCCCTGTCGTCCTTCTGCTGCTACTTGTTCCCGCTCCTCTTGTGGATGGGCAGACGAGAATGGTGTCATTGCTGCTTTGGCTGTTGCTGCTTCCATGTCTCTCCTCTCCACTCTCGAAGCATGATCTCCTGGCCATCTCCTTTTCATCCCTTCTCCTTGTGCGCCTTGCACTACCTCATGTTCTCCTCCACGCACTCGCCGTCCCTCTCCCTCATGTCCACGCCCCCTCAACCCCTGCCCCACGTGTTCCTCCTTCAGCCACGGGCGCCCTAGCATCCTTCCAGTGCTACTTCTTCCCGCTCGTCTCACCACACTGCGAGAGGGCAGCAGCAGGCGCAGCAGCAGCGGGGCAGGTGGGCGAGTGTGCGTCGCACGAGCCGCCAGCAAGGGACGGTGTGCTGGCGAGTGAGAGGCGCGTGGTGTGCTTCCATGGCGAGCCGTACAGCAACCTGTGGCTCGAGGCTGCAGTGGCCAAGTGAGTGAGTCGTGCTGTGCCTTGCTTGCATGCACATGTACGCTCACGCAGACGCTCACTCGTGCACCCCCACGTGCGCTCACACACACGCGCACGTGAGCCGCGTTGCCCCGTGCATGCGGTCATGCACATGCGCATGCACATTTTCACTCATGCACACGGGCACGCGCATGCATATTCACTCACACACACAAAGGCACACACACAGAGAGAAGCACGCACACACACACACACACACAACACACACACACACACACACACACACACACACACACACACACACACACACACACACACACACATGCACGTGCAGCGGCTCATGGCTGTGGTGCTGTGGTGTGAGCGACCAACCACACACTCCATTGATCCCCTTCCCTCGACTTGCCTGTGTGTGTGTGTCCAGGCGGTGGTTTGGTGCATGGTACGAGCGACCTAAGACAGTGGAGGTGAAGGGCAAGATGGCGGACGAGGCTGACGTCATGCCGCATGTGAGATGGCATGCCGCATGTGAGATGGCATGCCGCATGTGAGATGGCATGCTGCATGTGAGATGGCATGCCGCATGTGAGATGGCACACGCACCACATTTGCAACTGGGCATCACACTGCCCAGCAGTGCATCACAGCTGGTGTTGCACTTATATTTCCTATTCTCTCTCTCCTGCCATGCTCATGTCGCACCCCCCTTCCCACCTCTCCGCGCCTCCCTGACGACCCTGCCTGGCAGGTGCACTGGTGGCGAGCGCAGTCGCTGCGCTTCATGCTGCGCTGGCCCTCGCGCTACCTCTGCCACCTCACCAACCGCCTGCGCCACTCCTCCCTCTCCCTCTCCATCGCCACCCACCTCTCCTCCTCCTCCGCCCTCCAGTCCTCCCTCCTGCGCTCCCACCCGCACCTGAAAGAGACATTGCAAAGAAATGCTCCCCCCTGCAGCCCTGCTCGTGCTACCAACAGTGGGGATGGTGGTGCCAGCACCAGCAGGAGAAGGTTGCTGGAGATTGTAGACACAACTGCAGCTGGTAACACAAGTGCAGCTGGTAACACAAGTGCAGCTGGTAACACAAGTGCAGCTGGTAACACAATTGCAGCTGGTAACACAAGTGCAGCTTCTAACACAAATGCCGCTGGTAACACAAGTGCAGCTGGTAACACAATTGCAGCCGGTAACACGAGCGCTGTCGGTAACACGAGCGCAGCTGGTAACACAAGCGCAGCTGGTGACACCAATGCAGCTGGTAACACAAATGCAGCTGGTAACATAAATGCAGCTGGTAATACAAGTGCAGCCGGTAACACAAGTGCTCCTGGTAACACAAGTGCAGCCAGTAACACAAGTGCAGCTGGTAACACAAGCGCAGCTGCTGAAACGGCAGACGGAGGAGGCAGCAGCGTTGCAGCAGGTGCAACAGAAATCCCAAGCTCTTCCCAAGAGAGCAGCAGGGTGTTCCCATGGCAGCAGCAAGGGCAGCAGGGGTGCACTCTTGAGGCCACTGCATGGGCTCGCCAGGGACTGGGCCAATGTTCTCCCACCAGCGCGGCCTGTAGCACTGCTCATGCTGGTGCCAGTGCTGGTAGCGGCAGCAGTAGTGGTAGTGATGGCAGCAGCAGCGACAGTGGCAGCAGGTCGCAGCCACCAGAGCAGGCGACAGGTGGGGTGGATGAGGGGGAAGCATGGGGCAGCAATGAGTGGGGCGGGGAGGGGGCGGGGGAGGCGTACCTGCCGCGGCCGATAGTGAGCATGCACGTGCGGCAGAGCGACAAGGGCGGCGAGATGGCGCTGCACTCGCTGGCCGCCCACATGTGGATGGCCTACCGCCTCCGCCTCGCCCTGCCCCACCTGCGCCACATCTGGCTCTCCTCCGAAATGCAGGTCTGTATTGGGTTGGCAGGGGTGGAAGGTGCTGCACATGCGCATGGTGTCTAGTCCGAGCTGACACGGCAGCCTTCCTAAATCGCCCATGTGTACCATGGGCCGCTATTCTCTGTCATGCTCAGTCACGCCAACACCGCTGCCCCTCTCCTGGCATCCACGCAGACGGTGATAGACGAGGCGGCGCAGTACCGCGACTGGACCTTCCTGCACTCGAGCAACGCGCGCACCAACGTGTCGGTGCCGCACTGGGACGTGGAGGAGGCAGCGGGGCGCCACGTGGTGGTGGGCAGCAGCCTGGCAGAGCTGCTCACTGCAGCGCAGTGTGACTACTTCATTGGGGCACTGGGGTCCAACTGGGTGAGGATGATCAATGAACTGCGCTCCACCAATGGCCGCCTGCTGCGTGGATTCATTGCCCTCAACATACAAGAGTTTTGATATGCTCCGTGACAGCAAACACTTGTACATTGCTTTTGTTTTGTGATCTCCCGGATAAAAGACCCAGCGGCAGGCCTCTGGATAGGATTAGGGGCACTCTTACACGTAAGGCATGTTCGCTGAAGTTGGTCTTCAGTGAGGGTGGGTCAGCCATGTAAGAGTTGGTCTTTCTAACAAAATGAGCTTCTTAGCAGCACTGAGCACACAAGTTAATACAAAAACTCTTGAGCAGGGTGGCGCTTGTTGCTTGCATTGAGCATTGCAACCACATTCACCTACTTCACTCGCTGTGGCCAGACGTGCAGCTATCATTAGATCGCCCAGTCTTGCATCGCCCAGGCAACTCCGTGTCTACGGCTTGATCTCACTCCACCGTGCTGTGTGGGACCACAGCTACGGCTTGCCATAACTGTACGACGTTCGGGTGTGCTGCTGCGTAGTCACTTGACTGGAGCGAGAGGAATTGTAGAAGTAGAGGTTGGCGTGGTTGGTATCCATCGTGTGTAGAAACAACAGCATCTCCCTCTCGCACGCCTTGAACCACGCACCTGACGGGAGGGCAGAGAGATGGGGCGGGGGGTGGGGGAGATGTTTAGCAACACGACAACGAGGTATAAACATGCAGCAAACATAACATAACATGCTTCATCTAGGAGCATAGGTCATGCCCCACTTCATCCAGCGGGGGCTCAGTCTGAGTAGAGGCGTTGACGAGCCCTAGTTCAAGCAGCCGCTTAGTAGGCCTTTTTCAAATGCTTAGGCCCGTTCGCGGGGGTAAGTGCTGCTGGACCTGACAACGAGCCTTGTCGTCATCGTCACCGCTGGTGTCAACAGCCATGACGAGGGACTGGAAAGTAGATGCTAGAACGACGCCTACGGTAGCAGCAGGAAGGCGTGGTGTGCAAACATTAGACGAGACTACGAGGAAAATTGGATGAATTGTTGGAGTAAGAAGGAAAATATTTATAGCATTCCCGAAGATGCAGCAATCCTGCTGCAATCGAAGCAACACCTGTATAACTAGTGTGTTAGGCCCTGTAACACTCGCAAAGTCAACTGTCGTGACTGTTGACCGACCTGGGCCGAACGGTTATCTACGAGAGATGGCAACAAACGAAACTGTATCTACAGTTACATGCAACCACCCGATAACTGAAGGAGCGCAATTGTCGCGGTTACTTACATGTATTATAATTATAATAAAGGAACCCCTTTAATGGCTAGTTAGGATCTATATATTGTGCAATGTTCTTCACTTTAATCAATTATTTTCAATTACATTCATTATACAACAAGGCTTCACCACCACTACATACCTCACCTCATGGCAGACCTACCCTATCCAGAAAGTCCTCTTTATAACATGAATGAAATGAAATGACTGGGGTTGGGGTAGGGCGAGAACAGAAGGTCGGTGGGTGGGGGTCTGGTGGGGAGGGAGGACGGGACCAAGCAGGATCCCTCACGATGCACACATGTGTGGCGCTGAGCGTCACCGCCATGGAAGCATAATGAAGGTGATCCATGTACAGTTGGCGGGACTGTTGCAGTGGCGACGCGAGCCGACTAGGCGACGCGCAACTCAGGTGACTCAGGCTAAACTCCGCTAATCGCGGCAGAAATCACGTCGGTGATTCACAACCTCCCACCCTACCTCCCTCCCATCCAATCCTCCTAATCGCATAAGGGTGGCACCTGACACTATTCTTTATCATCTCTGCGAGTATATCAGGCCTGCCCGTACTATAAATGTTACACAAATTACCTTTTTTTTGTACAGGCACCCTAAAATACAGGTCTGTAAAATAAGGGTGAACACCTAAACCCTCCCTTACAGTAAGGGCCATAAGGGTGATTTGCCTCGATATCTTGAGGCCTGCTTGGGGGTATTCTAAGAACCGCACAAAAAATAAAGGGGGTCTTAATAAAAGGACATTTTGTTAAGAAACTTAGGCTAGGATGTGTGATTAGGTCAAGAGGGGGGTACAAGAAGAATGCCGAGAGGAATTGTGTACCCCCTAGTGCTAACCCCCATATAGCCTAGATAAACTAAACATGCATATAACTTGACAACCCACTAGAGGCTATAACATTTGACACATTTGTGTTACTTGAATCTTCGAAACCAAAATTGTGAATAATTTGTGCATCGATTTTAACAGCAAAATTATATTAGAAAAAAAACATTGGCGGAATGAACTAACTAATCGTCGCTCGATACCTTCTCCCAATGGGCGCAATGCTTGGTGCTGATGTGAGTGAATGTGAATCCACCTTAACTTGTTATGGACTTTGTACTCGACTTTTGTGAAAAAAAAAAAAAACAAACAAACAAACAAACAAACAATTAAATTCCATTGCTTGTCACTAGAGAAAGGAGGGTCTTATGATGTCAGCCTCCATTTAAGGGGGTATAACAACAAACGACCCATATAGAGTCCTCCCCAATCCCCCCCCTCTCCCCCCCCCCCCCCCCCACCCCCCACCCCCGCCCCCTGTATTATAAACTGGAGGGTCTACAACTGGGATGGGGGGGGGGGGGGGGGAGAGATTACGGCACCTTAATGGCTATCACAAGGGTACCAGGGCTAGATCTTTCATTACAAATCACATTGATACCTTGATTATTGTGGTGGTTTTGTTGCGATATGGGGTGCATGAAAATGCATGCCTGTACGCTACAAGAGCAGACTTAACCGAATACGAAGGCGAGGAGTCAGGCGAGTCGAAGCGATAGAAGCAGTTGCTGTCAAACATTATATATATGTTGTGGTTGTTTAGGCTACAGTGGGTTAGCCTATAGGGGGTACACAATTCTAGGGTTAGGTACTTGTACTGTTTTCACTGTTAGTTCAAGCATTCCAGTCCGTTCATTCTGACATGGTTTCAGAGCAGGTCCTTCGCTAGGACCTAAGTTCTCTTCGGGCCCACCACTACCTACTACCTACTACCTACTAGCGCCCTCGTGCGCCCTACTATCGGAGTGCGCTTTAGCGCCTCCCCCCTTAGCGCCCTCGAGCGCTTCCTTTTTTTTTTTCCCGGCCCCGCTGGCCCCGTCGATCGCGCCCCGCTTAGAGGCCCCGCGGCCCCGTCGCGCTTCGCCTAAAGGCCCCGCGGCCCCGTCGCGCTCTCCCTAACGGCCTCGCGGCCCCGTCGCGCCTCGTCTAGTGGCCCCGCGGCCCCGTCGAACCTGCGCGCGCCCCGCTTACGGCCCCGTCGACCCCGCGCGCACCCCGTGTAGAGGCCCCGCGGCCCCGTCGTGTCCCGCCTAGAGGCCCCGCGGCTCCGTCGCGTCCCGCTTAGAGGCCCCGCGGCCCCGTCGCGTCCCGCTACCACACGACCCCTCGACCCCGCTGCGCCCCGCTTAGCGGCCCCACGGCCCCGTCGAGCCCCGCTTAGAGGCCCCCGCGACCCCGTCCCGCCCCTCTTAGCGGCTCCGCGCAGCCGCGCAGCCCGAACCGAGCCGCGCCGCCCTACCTGAACCGAGCCGCGCCGCCCGACCGAGCCGCGTCGACCGTTCTAGCAGCCCCGTCGATACTGCTGCTCCTACTCCTTCTCCTACTGCTACTATAACTGTTGATCCTACTGCTACTCCTACTGCTCCTACTGCTACTACTGCTGCCACTATGGCCAGTCCTCCCGTACTTGCTTTCGATGCTGAGGGCCGCCCAGTGAAGTTTGACACCTGGCTAGATGACCTGCACCTCTTCCTACAGCTCACTGCCAAGGAGGATATTTCGCTGTACGATCATGCCCTCGGTCACGCTACTGCCCCTCCTACCACTGCAGACAGCACTCAGCGCTCACAGTGGCAGACTCGTGACGCCCACGCTCGCTTCGCTATTCGCAACTCCCTGCCGATAGATGAGCGCGAGCACTTTGGCCAGCACAAGACTGCTAAGGACCTGTACACTGCTGTAGTTGCTCGTTACTCCTCACCTGCCTCTGCCACACTAGGCCGTCTCACCCTTCCCTACCTGTTCCCCGACCTGGCCTCCTTTCAGACGGTTGCTGACCTCATCACCCACCTCAAGACTAGTGAGGCCCGCTTTCGCGCTGCTATGCCTGACGAGTTCCTTGCCAGCAACCCCCCCCCGCTCTGGATCACGCTTTACCACATCGTCACCCGCCTCCCTGACTCTCTGCGCGCAGTCAGGGACCACTTCCTCGCTCGCTCTCCCACTGAGCTCACCATAGCCCTCCTCGAGAAGGAACTGCTTGCAGCCGAGGCGAGCATCGTCGCTGTAGGCACCTCTCGTGGCGACCCCCGCACCCCGTTCTTTGAGGGGTGTTCCCCTTCCCCCCTTCTTCCCTCTGTAGCCTCTGCTTCTGCTGTCGACCTCCTTGGTGCTGAGAAGGTCGGGGCTGCGTCTGCTCCGAGCGGGCGCCGCAGGAGCAAGGGGGGCAAGGGTGGAGGTGGTGGCGGGGGAGGCGGGGGTGGTGGCGGTGGGGGTGGAGGTGGGACTGGAGAGGCTAGTGGCGGCAGTGGGGGTGGTGACAGCAGCGGCGGGAGCGGTGGCAGGGGCGGAGGCGGCAGCGGAGGCGGAGGTGGTCGTGGCGGCGGCAGGGGTGGAGGTGGCCGAGGCGGTGACGGCGGCGGTGGTGGTCGTGGAGGCGCTGGCGGTGGCCAGAGCCAGCAGCACGCCCCGTCGCTCCAGGAGGCACGTGAGTGGTACTCGCAGCGGGGGGGGGCGGGTGGCTTTACCTGCACGTACGTCATCCGCACTGGAGACCGCACAGGCCAGACGTGTGGGAGGCCGCACCCCACGCACCGCTGTTTCTCGCGCCTCACCGACGCTTGGCGCGCTCAGTTCCCTGGCGGCGCTGAGCTTCCCCGCTGGGGTGATCTGGAGAGGAAGGGAGTTGATATCTGGGCTCTAGACTTTGATGCTATTCTCACTGCCATGTATGCGATGTTTACTAGTGGAGAGGGTGCCCAGTACTTGCGTGTTCCGCCCGACCCGGGCATTCTGACCAGTCCGGCTGCCGCTCTAGGTGCT